ATCCAAAAGGGCAATTTCTACAATACTATGTAACCCAAAATATTATGTAACCTTTGCCATCGATTTGTATTTTGTACTTGTTGTAAATTCGTGCACACCGTACGGCATACAGTTCACCTATATATATATGCAGCTGGCATCACTCTGTATAAAAAACAGCAGTGAATAATAAAATTAAATAATGGTTCCTATGTATAAACCTAATTACAAACTATAAAATCAAATCACGATACCACTTCTGAAAATTATATTTTATAACGCAGTTACACGTTTAATGTGGGTAAGTTTTAATAAATTTACGGTGAGAAAAAATTTGGTAAAAATTAAATTTGGCATTAATAACTGAAGTATATATAATAATTGTTATGAATAAAAAAACCTCACTTTAATATTCTGCTACGTATAGAATGAATGGTATTTCATATAAAATAGAATTTAACCATTTTAACATTTTAACCGTATTATTATATTTTCGCTAACCGGCAGATGGCATTATTATTATTATTATACACTTATAGAATATATATATATATATATTAATATATATACTACCGTATACCTATAGTAATTACTATAATAATAAAGATGCATAAATATCTGTTTTTGTCACTCGTCTATAAACATATTATAGGAACATTTTTTAGTTCTTGTTAAACATTTAAAGAAAAAACGTATAAAGTCATCGCGTTATTAAATAAAGCTTTAAAATATTCAATTACGACATATACCTATCAAATAAAATGTATAGTTTAATTTATTAGTATAACAGTTTAATAAGGATATCGCGTTATCGGTTTATTATGCAAACGCGTTTTCTTATAAGTTTTTTCTTTAATAATATTTGTTTAAAAACGGAATTTTTTTTATTACTTATCGAGAATTTAAATTGTATTAAATAAATTACCGCACGTATTATTTATATAACGGATGATAATTTAGCAATTTTATTTGATGCGGCACAGTTGTAAAAAAACCTCGCGAGTGAGACAGGAAAAAAATCGTTTAAATATAACAGTTTAAAACACTTACAGTATTATCATAATTAAATGATTTATGGATTTATTTTTATATTGTAGGTACAATATACATTTAACATTTTTGAATCGACAACCCAATAGTTTTCCGTAATTTATAAATATATAATATGAACTATGAATGCATATCTATGTGTTCTATATCGCGGTATATATGTATATTACAGTTTAATTCGCAGATAAAAATAATTACACAGTTTTTCATGTTGATTTATTTTCCATAACAATTCAAGACATTATTCGGAGCCCATTATTGTTTTTCGACCCGCGCGTATTCAATTACGCATTCAATTTAGAACGTAACAAAATATATCACAATATGGCCACTGCAGTATAACGCATATATGTATATTTTATCTACACGGAATCCGTTTTAGGCACTGCATGTGCATGTGCATATACGTATTATTATGTAACACATAATATTATGCTGTCCATACTGCAGCAGGGTGCAGTCCGTTGTTGTTGGATATTATTGGAAACACGCTTTGTATATAACTGTGTGTAACTTCGACGTAAAATTGTCATACGCGATGCGCCCCCCCCCCGCGCCGTACACATGGTTACACGGTATTGTAGGTAGGTACTTAATATTACTATTATTATATGGAGAAATCCAAAAAAAAAATCCGTTGCCGCGCACAACATATCGATATATTTTAAAACTATGTGTACGCTTAATATATACGAGGCATGATATGGTATTTTACGGACTCGTCGTTGCACGGAAAAAATTATTACAATTTAACAGTTCTCACTGAAATGTCTGTAACATTATTGTGGTGGCCGCGTGCAATCGGATAATACGCCGACAGGGACTACATTATTGTAATATCTGACCATTGTGATATTAGCTCACTATGTATATATTATGTACTCGGTACTGATGCACTAAACGTTTATGCAATCCTGAGCTTATTATTGGTATTGTTATACCTATCGCTTATAATATTACATTTCAGGGGCGCCCACAGAGAGGGGCCAGTGGGTGCCAATGCACCCACTGGGATTTTTTAAATGAACCAAAAAATCAGTGTGTATAGTAATGCAAATATGTGATTACCTATGTATGTATCACAAAAATTTAACTTTGCACCCACTGAGCTGATTTTCTGAGGGCGCCCCTGTTACACTCAGAAATCTGTTCGGGTTTTTACACAGGATTGCCAATAAATCCATTAGAGGACGTTATACTCAGACCAGCCCGAGAGTGCATTAATCTCCTCAATAATAGGCATCGTCGTCTTCAAACTGTGATCAGAATTCGCGGCGGTCGTTGAAATGGTTGGATATTAGAATATATTAGCTGATAGCTGCAGGTTATTGGTATCCACTCAAATCATAAGGCTTTTATAAAAATGTTAATCGATACCTGCAGTGCGCAGCATTATAGGTACAATTATACAAATATAAGGCTATTTTAATGGCATGCGAAAAGGCACTCAATGAAATGGTTTTTTTCCAAATAATTATGATACATAATTAATTATTCCATCGATTACAACTTACAATTTATAGATAAACTATGTGTCTATATGTATACATGAAGAATTGATAAAAATATGGATCACTTCCAAATCCAACGGTTGCAGTGCCATATAGGAGACAAAGATTCTAAGCTAAATAGGCCAAAGATTAATTAGCTATCTTGATTATAACTAAAAGTAAAAACTATGAGCATTGTCTATGAATTATTAATCAGCAGCTATATATAGTATATTGTGTGCTTCATGATCATAGTTTAACAATTTTAGATAAAGTTAACAATACATTTTGTATGTAATTTAAAATTATTGAAATAAAATTAATTTAGGTTATGACTCGAGCGAAACTAAAATTAAAAAGTATTTGGGAGAGTTAAGTTTTCAGGATTAAGTTTTTAACCGTTGACTGCTTTGATTACTCATATATGTACTTACATTATCGGAAATTATGTTGTTTTTAAGACTGCACATTTTCTGAAACCGTCTGCAGCAATTGATCACGATACATAAATATAATATGAGGATATATTATGTAATATATATATATATATATATATATATATATATATATATATATATGTACCCAAACAAAATGATACGCAATCATAAGAATATATAAAAAACCAAACCGTGATTTTTCTCTTTTTGTAAATGCGTATATGTAGAAGAATATCGATGAGTTCAGACGACTAGCTATATGACCTATGAATAAAGCCTTTTTTGAACACCCGCAGTGCGCTTGCCAATAATATTTCACTGTAAGAAATCCAATATTGTAGGTCTACATAATATATAGGCACCTCTATTTAGGTACGGTTCGCATACCAATTTATAGGTATATAGGCGTTATAAGAATAAGTAAAAAAAACCATCATATTGTGGTTTTCCACTGGTAAATGATGGTCAGCGGTATGGGATAAAATATGATGACTACTGTACGAAATCCGATTGTTATAACATAATGGCGACGAGACAACTGAAATTGATATCATCCGTATGGGCACAAAGGTACCAAATATTGAATATTATTTCTATTAACCCACTTAAATGTGCATTCAACGTCGCGTCGAATATTTGCTCGTTGTGCCCACCCGCAGTATAAGTGGGTACCGTATTTATGAAAAATGAAAAAAACGTTTGTTGTACTCTATTATTATAGATACAATACGCATTTATACGCACCGATATGTAGTCGAATAGGTATATAATATTAGTGATGGTTTATAAATACGACGACGATTATCCCTATATTTAATATAAACGATCAAAACTCATATTCCGCAGTAAATTATGATTTGTACAGACCATATTATACACCTATATAGCAGGCACTTGTTCGCGAATAAGTTAGGCCAGGTCGACCTGCACGATGATATATGGTTGAATACTCTCATCGTTCACCGTGAAGTATCACACGCATCATTTATGGAAAATGTCCATTTTATTGGCAAAATAAATATTACGTTTTCGTCGCTTTTAATAATAATGATAAAATATGTACATCGAGGAGAAAATATGTGATCATGTACCTATCTGCCTATATATATGTAGGTAATGTTATAAGTATTATACCTAACCGGAACAACGTCCGTATAGTTAAACATTTTTGGAATGTAAGATTTTTTTTTTTTTTTCAAAACCTCCGGTCGGACATAAAATTTTTTTTCTCCTGCAACTCTTTATATTATTATAATGTACACTAATATAATCTAGACTTGCTCATAATATTTATTATATATATATATATATATGTATATAGGAACACTCGCCGTAATCCGTTTGAGGGATTGTAATACGCGCGCGCGCCCATTCATTGCCAGTTATTAGCGTTAGTTTATCTGCGTCGAAATTTGATCTTTTTGTGTGCTCGTTGAGTGTACACACACACACAAACACACACACACACACACACACACACCAATATCACGTACAATAGTAATATACTGACAAGGCAGACACACAAGCTCGAATCTTTCAAATTTATTATCCGCAAACAACGCGGGTCAAACAGAATAATACGCTCTGACGCGGATCTTCGCCGAATATTATTGTTATGTTTCTTTTTTTCGTAAATCCGGACGCGTATAATTTTATTCGATATTTGTTTGATAGATATACGCGACCTCTCATTATTAAATGTTGAAAATAAATAAAAAATAGTAAATAAATACATCCAATTCGTTTATCGTAATAAAATATCGTTTATTATATTAATAATAATAATATTATGTATAGGTATATATATATATATAGGTACCTATTATAACGACAACAATTAAATAAAAATAATATACAATAATAATATTGAGTATACACATAATAATAATATATTCATAAATAATTATTATATTACAATATAATATAATAACTGAGTATATAGCTGAGTACATAATGTATAAAATATAATATATAAATACCATTATTATTGATATTTTTTAACGATGCCATCGAATATCGAACTTGCAACGTATATGTATAACATATAATAATAATAATAATAATAATTATATTACAATATTTGTTCAACAATCGAAATGCACCTATTTCCTAAAACATAAATAGGTAGGTGGTTTACTGTATATACCTATATACTTTTTCTAGATAGTATATATATATATATTATATAGTTGGCCTTTTACGGTACACGTTTATAATTGTTTTAAGGCACACTGTGACATGCTTATTACGAATATAAACACGCAATAATATAACTATACATAGTAATAATTTAATATATAGGAAACATATTTATAAGCATCGCGCAAACCCTATCTCTGTATTTCGATATAAACATAATGTACCTAAATGTACTCGCGTATACGTATATATATATATATATATATATATAGACCGATCTCGTGTGACTAGTGACGTATAGACATATAACATATATATATTGTGATATTTGTATCGTGTAAAGTGCAGAGGTGAAAAAAAATCCAAAACAATGAATTTGAGAATCTAAATAATGCCCTCTCAGTGTATTATTTTTACGAGTTAATTACGAAACAAATATTGTAACGTTGACATAGTATACACAATACGCGGTACACGAATATCTATATATGTCATACGTGTATACGTCGCGATTACAGTAATATTATGTACAAATAATATAATTGATAATATAATAAAATAGTTTTTTTTTCGGGAGAGATCAAAACTATACAAAACGAAACAAAAAATAAAACAGTGTGCGGCCCGGCACGACGGCAGGTCGAATGGCCGGAGCGACCGTCCAAATCGCATTCATCACAATAATAATAATAATAATAATAATAATAATAATAATATGTACACAATGACGTGCGCAATACACTTTAGGGTAACTTTGAAAAAAAAAATTCATTTTTCTCTCTTACATCGCTCGCGGTCAATACTAGGTATACACTACTGCTGCTGCAGATGATGGTGTCTGTTCATGGTGGCTTGGAGCAGGGCGCCGGCGGCCGCGGGGTGCATGACGGCCGTGGGCCTCTTGGGCGGCACCTGCAGCGTGGGCCTGAGCAGCTGACTGATCGAGTAACCGGTCGAGGTGGCGGGCGGCGACGGCGACGGCCGCTGCTGGTACGCGCCGGTGGACGTCGCGACGGACGGCGGCCAGAAGTACTGGTGCAGGTAGTCGAAGCCGGCCGCGGCGGCTGCCGCGGACGGGTAGTCGGCCACGCCGGGCCAGCCGGACGCGCCGACCGCAGGGTGGTGCGGCGGCCCGCCGCGGTGATGATAGAAGGCGGCCGCGGCGGCAGCGGCTGCGGCGGCCGCGTGGTGGTGATGGTGATGGTGATGGTGTGGCGACGGCGGCATGACCACGCCGTGCGGCGGCATCGGTGGACGGTACGCGATGCGGTGCCGGGACGATTGCGTGGACCGTCGGCGCAGCTTGCCGGTGGTGCCGCCGATGTACACATCGCTGCTGTTGGGGTCGATCATCCAGTAGTTGCCCTTGCCCGGGTCGTCGAAGCTCCGCGGTATCTTGACGAAACACTTGTTCAGCGAAAGGTTGTGCCGGATGCTGTTCTGCCATGCGGGCGTGTTCATCCGGTAGAACGGGAACTTGTTCATGATGTACTCGTAGATGCCGCTGAGCGTGAGCCGCTTCTGCGGGCTTTCCGATATGGCCATCATGATCAGAGCGTTGTAACTGTAATTGGGCTTTTTGTTTTTGTCGTCCACCGGAGTCGTTGTGGCCGCGTCGTCCTTGGCCTTGCAGGGGCTGTCCCGTTGCGGTGACTTGTCACCCTTCGGCAGGTCGTCGTCGTCTTCCTCTTCCGGTTTGATTTCGACGGTGGCCGGTGACGTAGGATGCGGACGCCTGTTGTGGTGTTGGTGGTGATGTCCGCCGCGGTGATGGCGGTGCACGTCACCGGGAGTCGTCGGAGGCGAAGGGCTGCCGCCCGGCCGAGTGCTGTAGTCGACCGGGGCGCACAGACAGTCATCGCCACTGCAGTCGCTGGCCTCACTGCCGGTGGTGAACGACCGAGATGTCGACGGTCCGGGGCTCTTGCAGTCCCTCTCGTCGTCTACATCCAGGCGGCCCAATATGTGGTTGATGGTGAAACTGGGTCCGTTCAGCGATTTGGTCACCATTTTTAGAGGATGGGACTAAAAACACAAAATCACAAGTAACGTGAGCGAGTCGATAGAAAATATAAAACGATAATGACGAGCGGCGGATAGTGTCATGTGCGCGCACGCGATCAGAGCGGCGGCGTCGAGCAAACGATACGGACCAAAACGACGTTATGGTTTGGAAATAAAAATCGTGCGATGCGATGCGAAGGGCGCGCGTGCGAACGAAACGTGCAGTGTCAGAAGACTGATCGTCGTCGACGATGTGGTCGCCGCCGTGCCGGAGCGCAATCCCGGTGGCGGCGGCGGCGGCGGCTACGCCCGCCCGCCCCCGACCAATGGCAGCGGTGCCACGCCCAGCGTCGACGGCTGCGGTGGTGCGTCGCTCGGCGCTGCCGTCGTCCGGACACCATTTGTCGCAGCTGCGCCCCCTTTTTCAGCGGTGAGTATTGTATTATATCGCGCATTATAATATATTATTATTGTCATTCGTATTGTGTTTATTATTATTATTATTATTATTATTATCCCTTCTCCTTTTTATATGTTTTCTGTTTTTTTAACTGCCCCCCCCCCGCGCCTGCCCTCTCACCCCGCACTTACTTGCGCACACACACACGCGAAATATTAATATATTGACGAATGTTGTTATGCCAATATTGACACGGATATGTGTCAGTGTGTGTGAGGCCCCCGCTTATATTATAATGCGGACTTGGGGAGGGTATATATATAATATGTGTATGTGTACATGCACGCCGTATGTTTATATATAATATTATGCTACTGAAGAAGACTAGCTGTATGTCATAGTGATGCGTATAGGTTAGGTTATTCTTTTTTGGTGGCCGTCCTGTTTCGAAAGTTTTCAACAAGAAAGGTCAGGACAGCGTCCCTAAACATAAATGTTCTTGTATTTGCATAATTCAACGGTACAATCTTCGGTTCTAAGATATCCGCAAGGATTTGCGCTATCGTCTTATATTAGCCATAAATCATAATATATTATACATTATAATATAATATATAATTCAAACGCGTTTACTATTATTTTTATAGAAGATTTCTGCTTTTATTCAATAATTATAAATAGATATAGGTTTGGATATCTGTATATTATTATTAACCTATCAAAAAATGTTTAAAACTTCGGAGTGATTCGATAAATGTAATCAATTTTACATTTACACTTAAAATAACTATCGCAAAAGTGCACGATATACTCGTAGTTCGTACATATATATAAATATATAATAAACATATAATGACTCACTGTTCATGTTTTATTTTCATTTTATACAATTCTATCTATCAAGACAATACTGACAAGGCGATTTAGGTGGTTACAAGTGTACAACATATTTCGTAGTAATGTGTGATGTTCTTATATATAAGCACGGAACTTTATGTATAATTATCACGCATATGATAGACTTGTTATTTTAGCACACTTTGCAGTAAACAATATAATACATACATATATGTTACTGGAAATCCAAATAATACATCATTCATCACAGTTTGGATACGCACTAATATATACATACCCGCGGGTTGTGGCAAAGAAAAACAGCGTCATCATATATACGACTCGCGCGTGAAACTTTATAGTTATTATTAAGTCCTAATATATATATATATTATATACATCGATAAACTGTAATAATATATACAACACTCGGACGTTTTGAATTTTTGATTTCGTTTAGTCGTAGAAACTGCCTCGTGATGAAAAGTTTGTCACCGATTTACATGTATATATAATATTATAATATATAATACACGTGTGCCTATATGTAGTGTAGAAAGTATATAGGCAATATACCTACTCGTAACTAAATTACAATAATAATATGTATGTGAAAAGCGCATTTAGGTATAATAATAATAATTACATTTGTTGTATTCATATACTTATAGAGTTTAACGAATTATTATAAAAATCCGATATGTGGTAAATTTGTAGAGGTATACATTATATGATGTGATACTGTTTACATTGCAGATATGTCGATTTATAATAGTTGAATTTAAAAAATGTAAAGTTGTTTGGTGTATACGTTAGTCTTAAAGCTTTAGTAGAAGGGGTGCGGGTGGATATATATTTATTATCTATACGACTAGCATAATATACCTACTTGTAAAGTCGAATTGTTAATAATATATACATAAACCTATATTTATAATAAGCTATTATTGGTCATAATAACCCACGTGTGTATAAAATATTCCGAAAAGCCTTTGAAGTGCTCTTAAAAAAGATACCTATATAGGGCTATAGATCTTCGTATAATATACAATATCCGGTATCCAGTATAATAGATATATATTTATTTTTTTACCCAACATTCATCTGAAACCATAATACGTATGTACCTACATATTATAATATATATAGTACACATAATAGGCTAAATAAAAGGCTATTAAAATGTATCTGTGATCTTATATATATATATAATATTCAATATCCTCGGTGCACGCATATATAATATACATTATATTATTACATGTATGGCCTACGGCACGATTTTCGATGTGTTAACGTATTTATTACGTTATATATTTTATAATTTTTATATCTTTTCCTTCGTTTTTATAGTATAGTGTCACAATTTTTGAAATTCGTACGAATTCGCGTTCGCATATGACGTACAGAACATCTCATGTACGCTTATATATACACGTCATATATTATTATTATTATTATTATTATTATTATTATATATTTACAATGGCAACGCGCGCGCGTAATAAACCCTGTAGACTGCGGGCACGAGAACTGCACGTCGTAATGTCTTATTATATATATATATAACCGTAAACCATACATTTATATTAAATATAGGTATATGATACGGTCACATCGAGTGTAATACATGATAATATAATACGCGCACACCGCAGCGGCGGTATTTTTAAAACGAATAAAATAAAAGTATAAAAAAAAAATCATATATATCTCACTAGCAGATGTTCGATGCAGTTTGCCGATAAATAATTCGGTGTCACTTTGCGTGTTAGGCGGCCCAAAGAACCGTATAGTCAGTGTGTGTGCGTGTGTGTGTGCGTGTATATACATATAGTCGTCGTGTAAACTATTACACTGCACACTGTGCGAGGTTAATATTCTGGAAAAAAAGGAGAAAGAGAGAGAGAGAGAGAAAAAAAGTGTCTACAAAAACTTGAGGACAATGTGCACGATGGGTTATAATAATATTACACCGTATACGAACCGCGCCGCCGAGCCGTCGTCGTAGCGGGATTTGTCGGTGCAGCAGCAGTATGTATAACTCGTTAAAGGAGATATTTTTTTAAATTTCATACAAGACTCTTTATATGATCTTACGTACACTGTATATATAGTATTGTATATAAATATATATAATATATGTGAAAATATATAACACCGTTGGGGTATTATGTGTTGCGCACTACACCTATTTATAGGTATACGTTAAATTTTACGTTATTTGGAATTTTTATCGGCGCTTTTAAAATAATAATTTGATACATGTATATAATAATAGTATAATAGCTGTATAGTGTCGTCGCCGCAATAATTCTTTTCATACATTTATCACGTGAGGCGTAGTATAATATTATATAGGTTATGAGTAATATAAAATGTCCAAGACGTTCGTAAAAGCGTTTAAATCATGTGAACTCTGACTTGTATGTGTCCATCGATATAATATAATTTTACTATAAAATATTGAATCGAATATTGTTGTATTTTGCTAGCTGAGTGAGCTCCCGTGTATACTATTATTCAAACAATATTTATGAAAATAGGTATACCTATATAATTTACAGGAATACCGCCGGTATATATGATGCATATAAAGGTATACGCAATATGTATCGTAATACAATTACTTTTTAAATAGTGGATAATTTATTGTTCGATTTAGGTATTATATATTATATAGGTGTTATTATACGTTTTGCGAATAAAAAAGATAAAAATTGCAAATCTCGTAATTATTATTTATTATACCTACACCACGTGTATATGTAGTGACGACTGCTGGTTGCGACCTGTGTGTATTGTATTGCGATAACTGTGTGGTAAAAAAATGAACAGATATCTACCAAATATTGTATGTTATCGGAGCAGTAAATCAATAAGATCTGTGTATTAGAATTAGCATATTTATTAAGTATATAAAAATACGTAAAGTATATTATCATTCTCGTCGTTAAAAACAGATCAACTGCTTATACATTATATTTATAGTATATTTAAATATATCTAAATTTATACGCCCGCTGCAAACACGTGGATTCATTCATAAATATAGCAAAGTAATTTATTGAACCTATAATAGATGATACATATAGTTATTTAAACCCAAGAACAGTGCCGAAAGAAACGTAAAAAACATATTTTCCCAAGATTCGATACAAATCCTTAATAATATATACTACCAATAAATTACAACGAGTATAATTATATAATCATACAAACAAACTTGTACATAATAAATACTTAAATTATAATGATATACCTAATATTTTTAGTTTTTTAAATTTAAAATTTCTAGTGCCACAGCCGACGTAGGACGGGCATATTTAATGTATAATTTATTATAATAATAATACATGGGTTACCTACAAATTCTCGATCTCGCAAATCAGAGTGGACAGGCGTAGACTCGGTGTGGTAGGTGTGTATATTATACAATAAATCATATCAAATTAATGAGATATATTAATATATTATATATTGTTATTATGTAGTAGATAGGAATATTATATAAATAGTTATATGATGAAAACTGAATACCTTATAACGACATATGAACCACATTATTGACGTTATATTGTATTATGTCCGTGAGTTTTGATGAACAAAGTGCCTAAAGCCGAAAGGTCGAGTGCAGAGCGGTAAATATTCAATTTACAATTTTTTTTATCGATAAAACATATAATATTCTTATAAAATACAAGGAGCAAAACATTTATTGAGCTATATATTATGTATATAAATATTAAACACAATATGTTTACGGTTTACCCTTTAACTGCGTGTATATATATATTATACGCTTGTTTTGTGTATTATATAAAATATAATAATGATTTATAATTTATTCAACTATCTGTAGGTTCCTATATAATCCTGTATAATATAAATTATAAATAGGTAATATAATATTTATTTGTTTTGTTTTGAAAACAATATCGTGTTTACATCTCGTACCTATAATATATTATATTATATTATTATAAAAAATGTATTGTATTT